ATCATAAAAGATTAGAATTCATAACATAACGATAGTGTAAAGTAGCTGCGAGATACACTTTGCAGTAATCAAGTGAAAGGAAAAATAAATAAAAATGTTTAGTCAATCGAGCTTTTGTTGCAAAAATTCATATTGAAAGTCCAAGACCTAAATCAAGTTTTTTTTCAAATTCTAACTTTTACTTTTTATCATTTATTAGAAGAACCTAAAGAATTTGTCATATTATCTAAGGGAGTACCTAGAGAACACAGAATCTACTGAAGGTTATCACCTGATATTTGATAAAGGTATGAATTGTTTACAATTTGTTAATAATATTTTTTTAAATCATTATTAAATAATTTATTCCATTTTTTGTTTTATTTTTTTAATTTATTTTTTATTTATTTTTTATTTATTTTGATTTTTATTTATTTTTTATTTTATTTTTTTTTTAGCGAATTATACATTTCTTGAAAACAAATAATTATCTGAATTGATTCGTTCTTTTGTAATTTGAGTCAGATGGTTTGTACAGATTTAATTAAATTTCGGAAAAAAAATATATTTGATTCAATCTACTTATTAGAAAGACATATTTTTGCTTAATTTTTGTAAATATATATCTGTATTTTAGTGATCTTAATTCGAGTATATTAAAGTATATTTATAATATATCTAATTTATTTTTTTTTATTTTTTTTTAAAGGTGAAACCGGTGAACAATTAATCGACATAATGTATCAATTAAATGAATATGGCATCGTGGTTTATCAGTTGAATTTGATTTGTCTGATGAAGGATCTTTTTTCATTGGGGATAAAGAATCTCTTCGTATGAAATATAATAGAAGTGTCCTTATTGCTGACATATACTTAAGATGTCTTAATACTGCACTGGTAATTTTATCTCTGGCTTTAAAATTTAACAAATCGAATCCTTACAATAGTGAAGAAGGTAAACGAGATGAAAGAGATGAAGGCAGTTGGGGGAGGAAAAGGTGTAATTGTATTCAACACATATCTCAAGATCGAGGAGCTTACATGGTGGGGTCAAAGATATGAATATCCCAGTTCCATTCATGGTATATAGAAGATACTCATAAATCTTATAATCAGCATGTAATTGGCGTGTTGTAAATTTTGTTCAATTGTGTGGTAATTATTTATATTTATATATTGTATTTATATTATTTGATCAAGATTAATTTAATATTTATTATTATTAGGAATGTGTGATCATATTACTAATATACTTGCAAGTCACAGATGTCCCGCATATAAAATGTAATAGCGTTTGAAAAGGTATATGTTTGGGTTGGGTGGTGGAGTGTGTTTATTGGATAAGGGATAATATGATTTTATTTATTTAAATTTATTAATTCTTATTTTTAATTATTTTAATTAATAGATTTAATCGATTTAAAGGTTTAATAAAGTAATCCCATTTTTTAAGAGCTCAAGAAAATTCTTAATTTTTGATAGTCAGTAAAATGAAAGAAAATTATATGGGATGAATTAAGTAATTATGAAGTAAGAAATACAATGATGCTATTATTTTCTTTATTTCTCCAAGATTATTTTTTGCTGTGATGAAATTTTAGTTAAAAGTGATGGAAGTGAAGATGATGATGACGATTATATGTGCCGAGAGTAAGATCTGTTTACATTTTTCTACTTCGTACTTTTATTTACAATCTTTCTTTTAATTTAAATACTCTTATTACTGACATGCACTTAAATGTCTATGTTGTCTTAATACTACACCAATAATTTTATCTCCGTTAAAATTATAGGCTTTGAAATTTAACAAATCGAATTCTCACAATAGTGAAGAAAGTCAATAGAGGAGGAGGAGGAGGAGGAGGAGGAGATGCAATTGTATTTCATGATGGAATAAGGATTGATGTCCCAAAAAATAAAGATATCCTAGTTCCTTATATTATATATAGAAGATACTCAAATCTTTAACGAAACGGTAGAATTTTTATTATAAAAAATGAAAAGAAAATTCAAGAAAGAATATATTTTTTGATCTCGATTAATTAATATTTATCATTATTAAGTGTGATTACACTTGCAAGTTATGGATACCTGTACATAAATTGATAAAATTTGGAAAAGTGTAGTTAAGTGTTGTTATAGGATGATATAATTTTATTTTAATTATAATTTTTAATTATTTTAATTAATTGATTTAATCGATTTATAGATTAATGAAGTAATCCTATTTTTAATAAGAGCTCAAGAAAATTGTCGGTTTTTAATAGTTGGTTAATGGATGAAAGGGATGAATTAATTAATATTTATGAATTGGCTAGTTTGTGAATTTAGGTAATGAATTTAGTTAATTAATTATGAAGTGAGAAATAGATGTGATGACTATTTTACATGACGATGGTAAGGATCAGTTTGTATTTCTCGACTTCATACTTTTATTTTATGATCTTTCATTTTATTTCTAAATAATTTAATACTTACTGAGAATTTTACTTCCATAAAAATAAATAAAGGAGAATCTAAACCCTTCAGTCTAAGACAAAAAAAAATAATTATTTTGCAAAAATCGAATAAAATTGACAGTTAAATAAGAGAGCGATATATGGGGCCTCCCACAGCAAAAATAGGTTCTCAGCTCAAAAAAATTTTTGAGATTTCGTTACAATTATATGTATATTAATTCAAAAATTTTTTAAACCTATTTTCACTAAAATTTTTTTTTTGAGCCGAGAACCTGTTTTTGCTGTGGGAGTCCCATATTAAAAATTTGTTTTTACAAATTATATTTACATACCCATCACAATAATGCTTCTTCTATGAATCCCGAAGCTCAAATATATTATAATTCTGCATTTGTGTTTAAATTGAATACCAAAATTTGTTTCGTACAATTAACTATATTTATAAATATACCGAAACTCAGGATGTGAATTTAGTAAATAATATATTTATATTTATTTAAGTGTTTAATTGTATCAACTGAAAGGTGAAAAATAATGAACAACTAATAGAAATTGCCATAATGTAGTTTTTAGCAAGAGAAAATAATATCAAAAGTTTGACTTGATACAACACAAAATGAACGATCTTGTAAATTAACATCAATTACTGATACAACATTGAAATTTTCAAGCTCCGATTATACTAAAGAGGAAATTAATAATCTTGTAATTATAATATATTAAATATTAATTTATTTTTTCTTATTTTTACTATTAAAAAAAATTGAAATAGAAGTCAATAAGATACTCGGTGAAATGTGCTGAAAAAACCAAAAAACATTAAGAACGATGATGACAAATCTACTATTATAGTAAGGAATGAACATATTATTCATATTCAATGTAAGCATAGTTAAATGTAATTAGAAAATTTGATTTAGACCCCTGCACATATTTTTTAATCTTGAATAAAGAATTATACAATGTTTATTGTAATTATAGAGGAGTATCGTTACAACTGTTTCTATATAACTACTAATAATTCGATCTTGGTTTCTATTATTTAATTTATTACAGCGTGTACAATTAAATAATTTTTTTACTCTGTATAAGTAATGTGCTCTAAATTTAGAAATTATAAACTCTATCAAATTAGTAACATGCTTTGAATTTAGGAATCTAACTTCAATTATATACCACTAATAGTATTTAAAAATTTTTTAAACGTGCAACAAACGATAGGGTTCCAAAATTATAGTCATGTGCAGTAAAAAAAGTTTATTAAAATAATTAATGTAAAATGATACATGATACTTTACAGTAAATATTTACTTATCTTTACTCAATATGCTCAGGGATCTTTGGACTTTATAAAAATATTGTACACGTAAACCTAAAATAGAAATTGTAAAATTAATTAAAAATATCTCAATAAAATAAATGGAATTTTACTTATCTTTATTCGATATTCTCAGGGATCTTTGGACTTTATAAAAATATTGTATTGCGTGAACCTACAAATAGTAATTATAATATTAATTAAAATATCTTAATAAATAAATGGAGTTTTACTTATCTTTATTCGATATTCTTTTTTTTTAAAGAATGAAAACTGACTAAAACCAAATTAAAATAATCTAATTTACGGCCTGACCATCTATTCAAAAACATGCTAACATGGCTTTAATAGGTAGTCACAACCCCACTATTGTCTACACTATAAAAAACTTTATTTAATTTACATCCTTCGTTCAAAATTTTGTTAGTAACATTATTTTTTAAAGATTATATGATTTAAAAGTTCCTTTTTTATTTGTTTATAATTGTGAGGGCGATGGTTAATTTGGTTCTTCAAATATCTATTTTTTCCTTTCTTCTTTTTTCTGGTAATGCCTAAGCTTGTTCCCATTTGACAATTTCTGCACAACGTTCCTTCACTTGTCCTGTTTCCATTTATTCAATTCTTCACAAATTTCATAAATCATGGATTCAGTTTCTTGTTTGTTTTTAACAAATGTTTTAATTAAGTGCTTTAGTCCGTTTGGGATTAGACCTTTGATGAAATCAATAAAGCTAAACGTGTTTTCGGGCGAGGGAGCACGTGTGTTTCGTGTTACATCGATCTTGAGAAAGTTACTTGTTCTAATTTTCGAATCGATCTATGTTGCTTCCTTCTGTCCTACTTTGTCTTGTATAGTTTTACTGATTAGATTCTTCGTTTTGTAATTAAGGATTTTGAGGTAGTCATTGCAGCAGAAAATGTGTAAGCTGATCTTCAAAGTGTGTTGTACAGAAAATGCATTTGTCACTATTGAAATGTCCGTCAATTTTTCTATAGTTGGCAATTCGTTGTTGAGTAGTTTGAATTTGAAAGTACGTTTGTAATGTTCAGCATTCGAGGTTTTTATCGTTGTAATTTTTGATCCATGTAAATTTTTGCGTGAATTCCCAGTCAGTTTCCGTTTGGACGTTTTATTGAACCACAAATAGTTTCTATGTAGTAACTTCCATTCAAGGTCCTGCAAGCTATGGCTTTTGTTCTTACCACATTTTTAATTTACCAGTCTACATATTCACTGCCTCATTTTACATTGACCATTCGATTTATGATGGCCATGTTTGTTGTTATTTTTCCTCCTTCCTTTGCTCCTTTTTTTGCTTGCTCATCAGCTAACTCATTGTATTTATCTCCTGCGTGAGCTGTAACCTTGTGAAGTCGAGTTTTTTTCTTTTTGATTAAGCCTTCTACGATCTGTAGGATAGCAGGGTTTTGGTATTTCTTCTATCGCTTGCGCTCTTTATCATTTGTGAAACCTTAATGGCTGAGATCATGGCGAGGCTGTCCGAGTATATTGTAGCCTTTCCTTCCGTTGGCATAATTTTTAACGCTATAATGATCGCTCCCAATTCAGTCCTGTTAGATGACGGTGGTCCCTCCGATTTTGCATTGAAGTTCCATGTGGTCATATCGTCTATTTTCTTGACGATTATACCGCATCCCATGATCTTGGTGAAGGATTCGAAATTTCCTTCCTGCGTATTGTTTACCATCACTTTAAGGGATCCATCTGTGTAAATTTAAAGGTTTGTAAGGTGGCTAATATGTTGTTCGATATCTTTTAGTTGTTGTTTTACGGCGTCCGTAGTGATAAATATGTTTTCTTCCCAGGGGGAGATATTCGAAATGACTTCTGTGGTTGAAGAGTGTTTTCCTTTTTCGATAATCAGCTTACTTTCTTTTTCAGTTTTTTCACTTGTCATGGCTCTTAGTTTTTTCCTATTGCCTCCATGCACCCGCTCGAATGATTGACTTTGGAGGTGGAGAAGTCTATGAAATGTTCCGTTTTGCTGTCGAAAACACAATATGAAAAGGATTTGGCTCTGTCGTATTGCCTATTTATTGGTTTGTGGTCTTAGCTATGTGAGCATCCTTGGAGGTTCAAGTATCGAGGTTGGCTCTTCATCTATAATTTCCCTTACTAGGTGTTTCATTAAAACTCCTTTTCCACTTTCTTTGTTATATTTGTGTTATTAACCATTGCGAATCTTTTTCGACCTTGGTGGCTTGACCCTTTATGGCTGTTGTTGATTTTCGTTCAGACATATTATTGTATATATTCTGTTCATTTCCGTTGTTAATGTCGTCACATAATTCTTTGTAACAGAAACCTATTCTCGATGGAATATATTCCGGACATAAATTCAGGGTGGTTGTGAAATCAACATTGTACAATTGTTCCAGATATAGAATACCTTGTTTTCTGAGTTTTTGTTTGTTGCGTTGATACCACGTTTCTTTGTTTAAAATTTGGGATTATTTTACGTAGTCTTTAATTAAAACACCCTCACCCGTCGGAACAATGAGAATTTATTATTGATTGTGTGATCAAGGAAGATGTTGTTTTCAGCCATTAGGCTGATAATATCGCTGCAAAGATTGAAGTTTTTACCTTTTTTATCATATTCTCTTATGACCTCTTTGTTCCATATAGGTGCCTCAGTCCACATTTATTTTCGCAACTTCTGGATTCTTATTGCGGTTGTAGCTCCACAAAGATTATTTTCGTTGATTCTCTGTGCGAAATATACGGCATGTTTCCGTAGTTGTCTAGCTTCCATTTCGAAAAGTTTGCATCCCTAGCTTGAGTGAATAATACTGTTTGGGAATGCATTAACCAGCTTGCATTTGTATTTGAAGCGTCGTCTGATTCTACTATTTATACATTTCCTTTTTGATAAAATCAGGTCAGTTACTAAGTATTCTAATTGCGGGAAAAGTACTTACTTGATTGATGATGTATCGAGTTTGTTTGTCCGTGAGCTTTTTCCATCCCAAAAGGTTCGTCGTTTTTCTAACTTTATCGTTGGTCAGTTGTCTCTGGAAGGTCTTCCCTTTCCTTTCTTTAATCCAAATTCCAGATATCGTATTGCCTCATTGTTACGCTTCGCCAAGATTGTTGAGCTGAAAAAGGTTATCCTCCGTTTAGTTGGTGATTTTAGACCGTTGATTGTTAAAAGGTCTGTTTTGCTTGTGTTTATTTTTATGTTGACCATTTGAAAAAAGCTTTCCGTTTTCTTTATAAAATTTTTCCATTGAACCAGAACTTTCTGCGAACCAGGCTGTGTCGTCCATATACGCGAACTAAGGAATGTGTGCCCATCATTTGTCTTTTTCGCGCGCGGGTAAGTTTTTCCAAAAAGTGGTTTCCATTTTGTAACAAAGTTTAGTTTTTTTCACAAGAGGGTCGTAGAAGATTCACCAGATGAAAGGTTATATGGCATCACCTTGGTCGTCTCCTCTCTCCATATTGTAGAACATAGTAGCCCAAGTTCTATTAAAACTTTGTTGGATCTGTTATATGCCATGTATTCTATAATGTCACATATCTTGTCCGGTATTTTGAGGCGTTTGATAAAAAGAGTTTACCCACTGAGTCAAAAGCCCGTCGTATGTCTTGGAAAAGCAACCTGCATTCTTTCCCTTTTCCTTTGCTCCTCGATCACGTTATTTAAAATGTGTATGGTTGCATTGTACATCCGTTTCGTTTAATACGTTGTGGCGAATTAAGACAGAAGACAATCGCGTTGGGATGATTTTCAGGAAAATTCTTCGCGCGGTCTCCATTAAGGTTGTCGGTCTGGTGACTTCCAATCTGGCGGTACCGTTCCTGTATTCATTATATTGTTAAACATAATTTCTGTCACTTCGTTATAAATGGATTCTTTTATGGAGGTACGCGGGGCGAGGTTTTTCTTCCAAAAATTGTTCATTACAGCTTGTTCTACCCTGTCGTCTTTGGTCCAAGCTTCCATATGATTGCGGACTTTGGTTTTGAAACGCTCTCATCGATTATTATCTCAATATTTCCTTCAGCGTCCGTTTCAACGAGCCGATCCAGGACTATTTTCCTATAATTTTTTTTACTATGTTTCCTATCATCCTTTTTTGTTGGCCATTTAGGTATTGTCGTTTTTTAATTCGTTCCTTAAATATTTTGACCCTTTATTTTTTTATTTCCCTTTTTATTATTTTCCTATTTGTTAGCCATCGAGCTTTGATGTTTTCGGTCCATACTACTTGTGTTTGTTTGCCTCGTCGAAAAGGAAAGGCTGATTTCGCTTAGCTCTTTTATGAGTTTCTAGTATGTATCGGTAGATGAACTTAAAGGGATATTGTCTTTGGCGAACTTTTTTCCTAGTTATCATCGCTCCGTTCAGTGGGTGTTTTTGCCAATTGATCGTTATTTGGTTCTTTGGTTCCTTTGCTTTGGGAAGTTGTTTCTTCCCCGCATTGACCAGCGCGTTTTTATCGAGGCTTTCTTTAAACTGATTGTGTTGCGAGTTGTCAAGGACCCTTCGATTTCCTTCTCAAAATCCTCCCTTTTTTGTCCGTCGCATATTTAATGTTCTATAACTTTTTATTTTTGGCTACGTCTACTTCTGTTGTACTTTGTGTTGTTCAGCCAATCGTGCACGTCTAGGGTTAGAATTACCATGTCGTGGTACTGTTAGAGGAGATTTCTGTATCGATTATCTCTGTATTGATTACGTGTTGTATTTGATGATGCGTTATCTAGATGTAGTCTAGCCTACTAACTGGTGTTCGTTGCCATTTATTATCCTATGAAAAGTGAATTCTCTTTTGTTGTCGTTACAAAGTCTATAGCAGTCTTGGCATCCCTTGTATATGATGATTTGGTCAGTTCGATTTCCGTGACTTTGTGTGGGGATGTAATTTATCCAGTTTTTTTGTCCACGTCCCCGTTGAAATCTCCCAGGATGATTGAGAAAATCGATTCTAAGTGCTTCTGTAATCTTCTTGTCCGACCATTTCCTGAGGATGTCTTCTTTGTCTTTCCGGTCTTGCTCCTCCGAGAAATTGTATAGACTGATTATTTGCACTGTTATTTTCCCTTTGAACGATAGATAAAAGAAATGTCACGTTCTGAGAGTGTGTCGGTTTTGTAAATGTGAAGCACGATCGTGTCTCGGATCATTATGCCCGTGCCTGATCCTTGTTTTTGAGATTCTATAGTTGCCCAGATTAGTTGTTAACTACGTTTCGTTTCCCTTTTCTGCTTGTACGACCTGTGTTTTGAAAATGTATGGCGCGCTTACCTTTAGGACCCTTGTTTACATAAGAGAGATGATGTCCAGGTTTTAATCTATACAGTATTTCCACTATTCCTTTTATTTGAGTTCATCATTTGCACCCTGATTTTTTGTATAGCCATTTTCCATGTTATATTCTATTAGGCTGTATTTTCAGATGGTGGTTGCATTTATGTATGCTTGGATTCTCAGTTTCGATTGAGGTGTTATTTGCATCCGAGGTCGTATCTTGGTATGCGAGTAAATTGCTGCATTAGTGGAGGATCCGTCAGTGATGTTCAGTTCGCCCCATATATATTGTTCATCATTAACATTTTTGAATACATAGTTTAGGAAGATTTCTGTGTCATCTCTTAGTTCCAGTTAACCCTCGTGTTGACTGTTTCCTTGATAAGGGTATTATGGGCAGTTTCTGCTTGATTGTTTGGGCCATAATCTTTATTCAATATTCTCGGGGAGGACTTTATATAAATATGGCATCGTGTGAACCTACAAATAGAAATTATAATGTCAATTAAAATATCTTAATAAATAAATGGAATTTTACTTATCTTTATTCAATATTCTCGGGGAGGACTTTATAAAAATATTGTATTGCGTGTGAACCTACAAATAGAAATTATAATAAATAAAATTTGATTGAAAAAACTTCAGTCATTACCAGTATGAAGCCATGCTTATTTTAATTTTTGTCCATGCAATAAATGAAATTGAAAAATATGATCTGATTTTTAAAAAAGTTCACTGTTCTGGAATTTTACTTTTGTATATTATATAATTTATACCGTTATCTTGAAATTATATATAAAAACATGAAACGACTGATAAGGATCATATCCAAAAGTAACATTGACCAGTAGCCCTTGTGCAACTTTCTTGTCTCTTTAATTCTGTGGAATGAAAGAAGCTTTGTGAGAGGAGGATGATGCGGAAGTGTAGGTGTTGGAAGTTTGAATGCTGAGCTTTAAATATATAAAAGAAAAAAATACGTTAAAAATAATATTCTATATAATAAATAATAATAAAATTATACTGGAAATAATTACCATAGCCATATGATTGGAAATTCCCTATCCAAATGTTGGATGCATTCATTACCACAACTTGCTTGATTTTGTTTGCTCGCAGATCAGATTGACAATATTACTATTTTATCATACCTCTTGTTATTAAAGTAACCAGCAACATCTGTAGTACCTGTAGTATTATTATTAAATTTCCGGTGTTGCGCCTCATTAGTCTTAAATGATGTCCGGAAATGACTTCTCCTCAATAAATAACCATCCCTCATAACCATCCTTATTAAAGGTCTAGAATAAAATACAGTTTTACTTGTGTCAAAATCACTAATCATTTTTCTTACCAACAAACATATATTCCTTTACCAAATCATCTCTTCGTGATCACATGATCTAAATAATGCTAGAAAAAATAATCAATAGTTTTGCTAAAAAATACAAATAAATATCATGTTAAAGTACGGTAATAATAATTAGAAACAATAAACAGCAAGGCAATAGACGAAAAAAGCAATAAGAATGACAAAAATGACAGTTGAGATCTTTGAAATCGTGAGGTTTCTTCACATAAAAACAACAAAAATATTGTCCATAAGTGAAAGGAGGCTGCTTTTATGCTAACTGATGGTATATAAATAATAAAAACGAAATAATAGCAGTAAAAATTACTTTAATATTTCCGGTTATATAGAGTTTCAGATAAAAGAGTGAAAGGAATTTTTTTTTTAAGAAATTTTTATGTTTACTTCATACATTACACATAAGATCAGCTTTTTCGGTCAGCTGATCTTATATATGATCAACTATAATTTCGCTTCGTCACTTTTCCTAAACAATAATTAAATTTTATTTGATAATTACACTATTACTTTTAATTTTTTTTTATGCTAAGTATCTATCAATAAAATATTATTCTATTTTGCATGAAAAATGGTTTGTATTATGTATATGGCTTTAAAGATTTTAATTCTTAGTATTAGAATATTTAAATATTTCATTAGAATGATAATCTTTGATAATTTATATGCAGTAAATTTTCATACTAAAAAAAAAAATGATTAAAGAAATATAATTGTGTCTCGATATTATATTATCAAATTTTACTTAAATATGTAATATAATCTCAAATATATATGTAAAAATTCAATTTTATTCGGATATATATATAATATGAAATTTAGCAAAATTAAAGGGATCCGAAAAATCTTGAGCCTGAGAGAAAAATAATAATCATAGGCTAGATGAAAAATGGAGAATTGATATTTTAGAATTATAATTCTTTATATTATTTATTTAATTATTTTACTATAAATAATTTTGTTTATAGTTATTATGGTAGCATATCGCAAAAGGTAATTATAGGGATGAAAATAGAAACAAAAGTTGATACAAAATTATTAAAATAGGGAATGTAATAAAACCAATGTACAAGTGTTTGAATAAATTAAAAATAGAATAATTATTATGATGAAAGAGAATTCTTATATGAAAATATCTTTATTAATGCATAAAATAAAACAAACAATAAATAATATAATAAAGTATTTGAGGTGAAAAAAAAAATTCTCACGAAGTTTACTTTTCTATTCAATATTTATTAAAGTATTTCAAATTATTCTGAATTATTTCTAATTTTAATTAATTTCTGATTAACTTGTGACTGTTATTAACTGACTCTCACTAACTAACTAACTAACTTATTCCCAACAACAGTCATATTTATACTTTCTCTTTTGTTTACACTTCATCCTTCATCCTTTGTACTTCATCCTTCATCCTTGTATGGCATCCTTCATCCTTCATCTTTGTACTTTATCATTCATCCTTGTACAGCATATTATGGATAGCTATACAAAGATAACAATCACCTGAAAGTTCATCTAGTGTCACAAAATATCATCCCCATGACATTTCACCTGATTACCAATTTGCTTCACCACAATATTATATTATACACAAGGATGAATGAATTAATACATATATCAGAATATACTAGATGTTATGATCCATTAACTTATCCTCTCCTCTTTTCACAGGGTAAACAAGTATAGGTATCTGTTACATACTTTATAGTAACTCTTTGAATACACCAATGCAAGTAAATAATGACAAAAATTTTGACTGTAATAAGTATGATAATAATGATGATAGCTTGAAATGTTGAAAGAAATTTGTCATTGTGATGAAATATTATTCATATAGAATTCAAATAAGATACAATTTTATGAATTCAAGCTTTAGACCAACACACCTGTTTCAACAGTATGTATTGGATATGTATGTCAAGATAGAAACTAATTTTTTAAATTTTTTGTATAAAAATCAAATCAAGATATGTTGTGAATTGTACCAAGGCATTTGAGATACTATTTTCTGTAAAAATAATAACTCACATTACATAGGTTATAGAATAATCCTTTCCACAACATTTGTTGAAAGTCTTTATGATATGTTTTAACATTATCAAGATGCTGAAAAACTGGACTTATTTATCATTATAACCTGTAATCCAAAATGACCAGAGATTTGAGCTTTATTATTTCTTGAACAAAGGGCAGAAGATAGACCAGATATTACAAGTATGTGTATCATATTCGTGATTGATATTAATTGCTAAAGATTTACTTAGTACATGTATATTTAAATTTATTTATTGTAAAAATACATATCTTCAAAAAAAAATAATGCATTGAGAAGAGATTTTATGAAATGTGAAATTCTAGAACATGTTGTTTCCTATATCGAGGTTATTGAATTTCAAAAATAGAAACTTTTTCATATGTATTTTTGAATAATACTTCATCTCATGATAAACTTATGTCTCCTAATAACTATAACAAATTTTTTAAACAAAAATATCTAATTTAGTTAATAACTTAAATATGGTTCATGGTCATGTGATAATTTGTATTCTGATGCTCCTTGTATGACTAGAGATGAAAATAGCCATAGACAATATAAAAAAGAGTCAAACAATTTCAAGAGAAAACAATCTACAGAAATAATTTTATTCCACTTATCACCATAGAAATGGTGGATGTTTTTTTGAGTTAAAGGTAAAAAATAAGACAGTCAAATTGGACAATTGATGAAATTTTCCATACAATATCTTTCTCTGTGCTAAATATGACTGTCATATAAATATAGAAATTTGCATATCTATTAAAGCCATCAAATACTTATTCAAGTATATAAAGGACACAACAAAGTTATAATTAAAGTGATAAGAAAGCAGTCAGAAGATAAACAGCAAGACAAACTATTGTAATAGATGAAATTAAAAATTTTATAAAAGCCCACTAGATTTCAGCTCCAGAAGTTATATGGAGAATATTGGAGTTTAATATGTATAACATATAGTCTGTTGTAACGTGCTTACAGGTTGATCTTCCAGATAAACACAAAATAATATTTCATGAAAACTATAATTTGAATGAGGTGGTTAAATATGACTAAAAATTAACAAACTACTCTTACTGAATATTTTAAAATGAATGTATTAGATCTTGAAGCAAGAAAATTTCTTAATACTGAATTCTCTTTACACTATGCATGAAATAAATTGATGAAGAGATAAAATAAAAGGAAACATAGTGGTTGTATCAAAAGGATGTATATAGTCTATCTAAGTAAAATGAATGATATTATCTCCAATTATTGTTTACTAGAATAAGTTTTGATGATTTAAAAAATGTCAACAGTATTATTTACAATTCTTTTAAACAAGTATTTATTTGAAGGGTTATATAGAAAATGATAATGAATACAAATTTTGTATAAAAGAAGTGAGAGAATTTCAAATATATACTTAGCTTCATAATTTATTTGCAACTTTACTGGTTTTCAAAAATGTCACAAATGAAAATCAACTGTGTAAAAAAACTAGATTGTATAATAGAAGATTTTACTTAAAAAGGCCATATGGAAGACCAGAAAATTCAAGTAGTTCTTAAAAAACTTGACAAGATTCTTCAGAGGCATGATAAAATAGTAGCCAATTAAAACTTACTTAAATTATCACTGAATACAGAACTGAAAATAATGTCAAAATTTTTTCTAGAAGAATCAAGTTACACTGGTCGAAAATTGATAAAACATACACATATCGGGTACCCGATATGTGTATGTTTTATCAATTTTCGACCAGTGTTATAACATCACTTTTGAAAAACTCATCAGAGCTGACATGTTAACTAACATCCAATATACTGTATTCAAAGAAATAATAATGCACATCAATCAAGGGAGGTGTAGTATATACTTTCTAAACAGTCCTGCAAGAAGTGGTAAAATGTATCTTTACAATTGCCATTTTGCCTACATTCAAAAATATGATCTGACACACTGGTCAAAAATTTATAAATACTACACCTATTGGATACCTGATAGGTGTAAAAAATGTTTTACTATACTTATCTGATAACTGATATATTTATCAGGTACTCAATAAGTGTATAAATATGTACATTACTCTCACACCTATCAGGTACCCAATAGGTGTAATATTTATAAATTTTTGACCAGTGATAATGTTAACAATTGTATCTTCCAGTATTGCTATCTTGCTTCTAAATGATGGATATACAGCATACTCATATACTCATATTTCAAGATCCCTATTGTAGTAGATGAGAACACAACATGTAACATCAAGAATTAAACAGACCTAGCAAAATTTCTATGGGAACTATTCTCATAGTTTGAGAGAAGACTTTGATAACTCATTATCATATTCCGGAGACAGTTAAAAAAATGTTGTGAGATATTATAAATAATGGCCTTCCCTTTAATAGAAAGATATTCTTTTTGGTAGAGATTTTTGTCAGGTCCTTATGGTTGTCTATATAGGAATGAAAATACAAATCGTTAAAGCAACTTTTAACAAATTGTATAAAAACCAACTCTTCTTTCTTTCCACTGCTCCTCCATACAAAATAATTTCACCCGAACTGTATGTTGTGTAACCTGATCCTCTTCTCCCGTTAGCACTAAATAAATTAATATGAAAAAATATTATTATTATTATTATCATCATATCATTATTTTATTGTTATAAATTATTTATTTCCTTATCATTATTATTTGCGTTCTCTCCTTTACCATCTTTCTCTTGCGTAAGTTGCTCATCAAAAATATTTCTATGTAAGCTTATACTGGCAAATGACTTTCCATCATATTTTGTTCCTGATCCAAATATGTTTTTATTTTGAGTTGAGGTAGGAGAATTCTCAACTTTTCTATTTTTTGATTGGTAGTGATATTCAGTCAGAAGGAGATAAGGGACTGTCTCTTTTCATTTTTGTTATTTCACATTAATATTTTCTTTTTTTTATTTTCCATATTATTAATTGATTGATTGTTAAAAATATTTTTTTGACAAGATCGTTAATCTTAATATTAAATTTTTCTTGTAGACTTTAATTAGAAATAATCATTCAGTTTATAATTATAATTAAAACTTTATTATATTTTATTATATTATTGCATGTTTGCTTACTTAGCCAATGATTATTATAACTGTACTTTTATTATTAGTCACTATTATTAAATTTATTATTAAAAAAAAAATTTCAACACGTTATCAGTATTTTATTCATATAAATTATTTGTTGTTGTTAATAATAATCTGATATACTCAAGCTGCTAAATTTCTAAATTAGATAGATTGGCTAATGATTTTTTTTTTTTCAACTGAAACAAAGCATAAGAAATATAAAACTTTTGCAACTTTTTGTTTTTTTTTTAATAATATTAAAGTAATACAGTAATATAAATCATAATTATTAAATTAGGCGTATGGCTGATCTGAAAAATGACTAATTCTAAAATGGATTTGGACATGGGTTTCGCAAAAAAAATTTTTTTTTTTTGCTAATAATTATTGATTATTAGCTGATGTAATCATTAATTTCTATTTTCGTAATATTAATTAAAATATTGATGATAACTTTTATTTGACTAATATGTAATGTACGTAATAACAAAATAATAATAATGAAATAATTAAACTTTTTTTTGAGCGCGACATTTTTTTTTTCTTTTTTTCCAATAAATAAATAAAATAAATAAAATAAAAATAAAAATAATAACATGTCACATCAGATAATATAATAGTCAATTATATAATAAATAGTTCATAGTTATAGTTATATAGGAATTCCAGATTGTTTAAGATGTATTTTTTTTATTTAAAATTATTTCATGTTAATTATTGGGCCGATGATAATTAAAATCACATAATAGTATAGTATAGAAATTCGCGGCTAACTCTAATAATTGATTAATATATAAAGATATCATTATTATTATCACTCATATTATTGATCATGGGTAGACAAATAAATAAAAAATAATAATGAAATTACCAATTCCTTTATTATTTATTTCTCATATCATATTATTCATCGTGAATAAACAAAAAAGAAAATAATAATAAGAAAGTTCTAGTCTGTTAATCAATCTGATGTATTAGAAATAGTATTATAAAATTTATTTTAGAATTTTTATTATGCATAATCAATGATAAACAATGATTATTGTTATTGTTACTAAAATGGTAAAATTTATCGTGTTCTTTTTTCAAATCAGCTTTTAGTTTTGAATAATAAAATGTGCTTAGTTTACATATTTGGCTATCTTTTTATTATTTAAAAAAAATTCTAATCCACAATAATCTAGAATATTAGAATAATAAAAATAACAATAATAAAAAATACAATTTTTTTCAGGTGCATAATTGTTTATATTTTCTTTAAATTTATTGTAATAAAAATACAACTTTTTTTTCGGGTGCATAATTATTTATTGTATGATTAATAAGAAAATATAACAAACTTCAGATAAGATTAAATACATATAATTTATTTTCAATAAAAATGAATAATTTATACTTTTTTTTATTTTCATGTAAACAATTTACCTTTTTTTTATTTGTAAACAATTTCTTATTTTTATTTATTTTCATGCACACGATTTACTTTTTTATTTCGTAAACAACAATTCTTATTTTTTTCATTTACATAACATAAAAAAAAATAAATATATAAATGATCCATCCCCCACCCAATTTCACCTTAAATTTTTTTCGATCAAAACTTTAAAATTTTCTAAAAATTATTCACCAAATTAATTACTATGAATAAATCAACGATCAATCCTTCTAATTCTAATAAAACCAATTTTAATACTCAACCAACTATGACTCTTCGAAAGTGCAGGAGCAAAGGAAAAATCAATACAAGCGAAACACCTACCAACATATATTCTGAAACCAATAATTCTAGCACTTCTAATTCTAATGCAAATACTACAAGTACTCGACCTGTTATAACCCTTCGAAGAGGCAGAAGCAAAGGAACGATTGACGTAACAAGCGAAACACCTTCCAACATCAATTCTACCAATAATAGCGGTACTTCTGATAGCACAAATTTAAATACTGCAAATAATCAACCTACTATAATCCTTCGAAGGGGTAGGAGCAAAGGAAATATTAATATAATGAGCGAAACACCTACCAACATAAATTCTAAAACAAATAAATCCGGTGCCTCAAATGTAACAAATTTAAACGCTACAAATAATCAACCTACTATAACCCTTAGAAGGGGTAGGAGCAAAGGAAATATTAATATGACAAACGAAACACCTACCAACAAAAATTCTAAAACCAATAAAGCCGGTACCTCAAATGTAACAAATTTAAATACTACAAATAATCAACCGACTATAACCCTTCGAAGGGGTAGGAGCAAAGGAAATATCAATACAACAACAACAAATGAAGGTTCATCTACTTCTTCAAGAAAAAGAAAGACAGCTGAAAATGAACCAGAACAACCAAACCCAAAACGTGGCCGAGGAAGGCCACGAAAAAACATTGAACCTCAACCTCCACAACCAACATCACAGCAAAAACGTGGCCGCGGAAGGCCACGAAAAATCCAACCTCAACCAAAAGCTCAAATAAAATCTCAACCATCACCACAGCCACAACCACCACAACTCGAACCACAGTCTTTACCACAATTTCAACACGAACCCGAACCCAAAAGCGAACCACAACCACCACAGCTCGAACCACAACCCCAACCCCAACCACAGTCTTTACCCCAATTTCAACTCGAACCACAACCCCAACCACAGTCTTTACCCCAATTTCAACTCGAACCACAGTCACAACCACAGTCTTTACCCCAATTTCAACCCGAACCACAACCACAACCACAGTCTTTACCACAATTTCAACTCGAACCGCAACCACATCCACATTCTTTACCACAATTTCAACTCGAACCACAACCACAACCACAGTCTTTACCACAATTTCAACTCGAACCCGAAACACAAACAAAACCCAAACCACAATCCCAACTCCAACCACAACCACAACCACAACCACAACCACAACCACAACCACAACCACAAACACAATCACAACCACAAAGAATATTTGGTAGTGGTTATTCTGGTGTATTTGGATCGGGGACCAAATACACCGGAAATTCATTGATGGGAGGTTTCGTTGGCTCACAAAATTCCATTTTCGATGAGCAACCTGCACGAAATGATGAAGAAGAGAAAAGTCAAGATAAGGAGAGTGGTGCAGAAGAAGAACGAACTTTATTCCAGCAACAAGAAGGTAGGAACATTAAAAAAAATAATAATAATTCAATAATTTTATTAATAATGTTTATAATAATAATAAATTTTTTTATTAATTTAATAAGTGTTGACTGGAGAAGAGAATGAGGTTACAACATATTCAGTTAGAGCGAAATTATACTATATGGATGAACAAACATGGAAAGAAAGGGGTGTTGGAAACTTGAAACTTAATTACTCAATAAATAATGAACAATCACCTCGCTTAGGTAAAATTGCACGCTAACTTTATTATGATTATTAATACTGTTCATTATTCAATTACTAACATGTTTGATTAAAAAATTTAGTCATGCGAACTGATAATGTTCTGAAAGTGATCTTAAACATCGCATTATTTCCTGGAATGCGTGTTGAAAGATCACAAGAAAAATTTCTAAGACTATTTGTATATGAGGATAAACTTGTTCAAATAGCAATTAAGGTTTGTAGTTTTGGATTATTGCAATTATATCTTATTATATTATTTATTTTATCGTTATTAAATTATTTATTATATTTTTACTTATTATATTTATTGTATTTTCTTTAGTTGACTAATTCAAATGCAGCCGATGATTTATATGAAGCTATCATGGCTGCAATCCCTCAATCACTTCCCCAAATAACTTCTCAGATGTCATTTTAAGTTGTGCTCTTTTTCTTTTTATTCTTTAAAATTATAGAATTTTATTAATGGTAGTTTATTAGTTAGCCCAAAATTTATAAAATTTAGTTAGGATTTTAACATTTTATATTATATAGATATTTCTTTATAAATTCATTATATTAAATAAAATCATTTATGATAGAAAATTTTTTGTGTTTTTTTTTTCTTTTTATTATTGAATGACATTTTTTCATTTTATTAATACATTTTATTAAATTCAATTCAGAACCTTTACATTTAACAGAAATTACAATCATGTCCTGTCCCGAAGTGATACATTATAATTATTATTTCGATCATTTATTTTAATAAAAGATAAAAAACAAAATCTTGCATTTATTAATAAAGTTTATTTAAAAACTAAAAATTCTGGGTTTTGGAATTATTAGTTAATAACCAAAAAAAAAGCATTTTTTATTATAAAAGATAATATCTTAAAATTAACTTTCATTTCTTAATTAATAGTTTATTAGATCGATTAAAATTAAAATAAAAAAAAAAAATAAATAAATAAATAAAAAAAGTCTAAACATTCCATATTATTCATAAATGTGATAACTAAAATGATAAAAAATGATCAAATGAAAAAAACTAATTAAATGATCCTATAATAATTATAATTCTATTTAATTAAAATTAAAGCTTTTTTTATTGAATTAAATTATCCTTTAACTAATTGTCATTAATTCGTATACTCATAATACTGGAATTTCATTGTATCATGTTAAACTATGTACAGTACAGTAATTGATTATTATTCTGACTGATTCCCTTTTCAAAATTTTTACTTGACAAACCAGTGAAAATAATAGAAAACATGACTTAATTATAAGTTTACAATAATGGGAGCGTTTAATTTTTATATAAGCAAGGATTTTAATCCTAGTACACTTTGCATTTAAAAACAATTCTAAAAAATTTGGAATTTTCAAGAATCCTTAGATGTAAACAAGTGTAATATGGACGAATGAACATAAATTATTATTTCTTTTTATTTTACATATTTTTTTGAATATATACATCACGTACGACTTAGAACGAGACTTAAAGAACTAATGCTATCGATCAGTCCAAAAAACTGTAGCATTATTCATCCGATATTTTTTTACTCGATATTTTTCATGTCCGTAATCGCAATTTGTGAATTATTCTGTATTTTCCTCATAATTATTTGTATTTACGCGAAGTAGCTCCACTCTCTACTTCGGTAACTCAAACTCCGGTCCAAACTCTGACTCCAATTCCGGTTGATCTAACTGAAGAAAAACTTGAACGAGCTATTTTGGCTTTCAATAATGAAATAAATAAATTCGTACCAAGAAGAGGAGAGTTCGTGAGTTTGGTAACTATTAATTCACGAGATATATCAGTGTAATAAAAATTAGAAAATCTTGACCTGTGCATAGGTATAGATTCTTATCTGTGCCCGCAGGGGTTAGGTTTCACCTTTTGAATATCGATTTTATTATACCAACATTTGTCCCCTATCATTTATCACAGTTATAGTTTGTATTTTAATCTTGTTCAAAAAGATGGTTGTTGTTCTTTGGTTACATTACCAGTATGAAGATATGCTAATTTAGAGAACTCTCGACATCTTCCTGAGAATTCGAATGCATGAAATTCTATTTTTTTGTTCATTTAATAAATGAAAATGAAAAAATGATATGATTTTTTTAAAAAAATGTTCACTATTTTCAACATTGCCATAATTTTAACTTTTGAAATATTAACATTTAATACCATTCCATTATCTTGATCTTGACAGGTAATTATAAGTTCACGTATAAAAACTGACTGTATGCATATACATTGATAGTATCGATGCCAAAGAATTCTGTTTGATAATTATAAATATCAATGAATGTTAGTCTTTGAAAAATTATTAAAAAAAGTAACGTATATAATTCTAAATAAGAAATACTCACCAAGAACATATCAATACAAAAATTGACTCCTTGATCAAAGCAAAGAACAATAAATAAAATCAATATTAGGAATAATGTTAATAATGAATGCTAACAAAAAATGGAAATCATTATTGTTACATTATTGGAAAAAGAAAAGAATCATTAATAAAAAAAATTATTAGTAGGAAATTGCTAAAATAGGAATCATTAATAATAATAAAAAAATGGTAAAGAAATAAATATTAGTAATATTCGCCAAGAAAAAGAGCAATATTTTCAAGAATTAAGGAGAATGAATGAAAAACATGATAAATTATTTGATAAAAGAAAAAATGAATGTTATCAATAAAAAATGTATCATAGAAATAAAAGAGACCAAAAAAAAATCATAAAAAAAATATGATACAAAAAATGTAAGATTATATTTTAATCTCTCTCTTTCTCAAAAAAGATGATTGTTCTTTAGCTACATTATGGATATGAATCCATATACTTGTTTAGGAGATCTCTAAAACATCTTCCTATAAATTAGAATAAATCAAATTGAAAGAAATAATATGATTTTCTAAAAAATGTTATATTATATTACTTGCAAAATTCTCAACCATTACTGTAATATAAACTTTGAAATATTATATAATTCATACCATTCCATTATCTTGACAGGCTATTGTAAGTATCAGATCCAAAATAATATTGACCAGAATCTTGTGTAACTTTTTCCTTCAAATTCCATGATCCTTTATGAGTAATGAAATATGAATAATGAAAGAAGGTTTACGAGATGTAGGATGATATTAAGTGTGTACAATGGAAGGATGTAAGCTGAAACCTTAAAAACATAAAATATACATTAAAAGAGAGAATTATTTTTTTAAAATAAATTATATTCTATATAAATAAAATAAACTTTAATCAGAAATAATTACCACAGTCATATCATCAGAAATAACCTATTCAGATTGTTGAATGGAACTCAGTTATCACGATAATTAAGAGTATCCACATCCTGTTTGATAAGGTCAGTTTGAAATTGCAATAAATCTAAACATAACCTTCTTATTAAGTTTACAATATGTTGCTACTAAAGCTCCGAATGAGTATTAAAGCTCGCAAGCCCAACGAGCTGAGTCGAGTCAAGCCGAGCCAAGTCTAGTATTATAGGCTCATAAGCTCGTGAGCCAAAAATTCACGAGCCAAGCCTA